TACATCAACCACCCCCAGCATACTAACACTAAAGAATTTTTAGCTATCACTTTACCCTCATTTCCACAATACACCTTAAACACCCCTCACGACGCTAACGAAACACGCAACTTTGTAGATGAATACGTTTTAATGCCCACTCTCTCTTGGACCTCATACTATCATTTCACTAACCCTCTTTGCTTACCTTTATCCAGCACTTCCATCGATATAGACCGAAACAAAGACATGCTATATCAACTAACTACACCACTAACCGCTAGACAGTTTACTTACGTTGGATATAAAAAATCACTAAAAATACACACTGCACCTAGAGCTAATGAATATACACTAGAATACTACGATCACAACATCATTAGAGCTAACCAAGATCAATTCTTAGACGACGATCGCTTCGCTAATCCACAAATCACCGAGAAATTTTTCATCAAGACACCATATGTATTTACACTAAACATCTTCGACCGAAAGTTTGATCACATTATTTCAGAAGCACTAACAAACACACAAGCATACGAAAGTTTTAAAGAACGCTTCCAAATCTTTTCACTAACCTTTCACTTCCTTGCACCACACGAAAGAGATTTACACTGCTCACACGATATTATGTTGCGCACTAAACAAACACATACATACAGTTACTATCGTTTCATCCAAAATCACTTTGACCTCCACACACCCTCTAGACAATCACACCATCGTTTCCAATTCATCAATTCAAAATACACTTCACCGTATTTCCTAAATTTTACATATTGTATTAAAGACACTAACCTCCATGGTATTCTTCGTAATTATGACCCCATAACCCAAATGTACATTTTCTGCCCAATCACCAAAACCTTCAACGCCGAAGAATCCCGACCCTTCCTTATCCCGCACGAGTTCCTGCAACCTATAGAAATCCCAATTTTAGAATTCATCCACAACACTAAATTTAACCACAAATTATATAACTTAATCCAAAACACACCTTATGAGTTTGCAGTAGGCACTGAAGAACTAACCACTATTAAGGCACTTCAATTGCTTTGGCCACTGCTTCAGACTAAAAATATCATCCGCATTCTAGCTAAACTACTCACAACTTCAGAACTAATTCACGACATCTTCCCCCACGGTTTTTTCCCCGACGACTAACAGGTAAGTATGAATTAAATGAATATTACTAACTAATTAAAATATTAAAAAACTCACCATTCTTTATTCATGTTTTCTTTAGATTTTTAGCCTTCATCCTCGATCATCTGAAAAATTCACAAAAGAAAAATAAAAAATAGCAAACTTCTTCAAAACTGTTTAAGACCCTATTAAACTTTTGCACCAACAATTAAATAAATATAATACCAATGCAGTAAATTAATTTATAAAATTTTCCCCAAAGCAGTAAATCTAATTATGATGAAAATTTGTATCTTAAAATTCCCCCATAACTAGCAGTAAATTTCCAAATTCTATGCAGTAAATTAATAAAATGCAATTGCAGTACTAACCTTTTGATATTTTCATTCATTCGCACAGAAATTCTATCCACACTCGCACAGCTCGCCCACGAAGAATTGTTTAAAATAATGAATTTCAGTTTCAAGTTTTCACACTCAACAACTCTAACATATAATAACATGTTTCAAACTTTCCTTTAACCCGGTTGGAAAGGAATCATATACTAAACAAAACTAACCAACGCAGCTTACTAAATACCACAAATCATAGAATAACAGCATGACTAAGAAAAGGAAACCAACGGTACCCAAACCGGATTAACCCAGTTTAAAACTGGATAATTTATTCTTTTGAAGACTATTACAAAGTCTTAGAAAGAAATAATAAAACACAAAAAAGTCGAAAGACAAACCCATACCACAAACAATTTGATTTTTGAAAAAAGGACACAACCAACGAAACATAAGAAAAACCACAACAAACCCAACATAAAACGTTGTCACATAACAGGACCCCTCACAAAAACCGCATGAAATCATACTCCCACTCCTGGCCTAACCCACCAGGAAGGACGTCCTGAGGCATGCTCTATAGCCGGCCTAACCCACCGCGGTACATCCACGCTTTGTGACCACACCTTTATTTTTAATAAGAGCTACTCAAGGGTGAGTAACTCTTCAAAATAACCGAACTAAAACAAAAAGCTTTTGTGAAAACAACTAACTAAAATCATTATTAAAAAATATTAAACTAATAAAAGTTTTATTAAATGTAAAATCACATGATGCAATATATAGATCAGAATACAACACCAAGGACGAACATCAAAAGACAAAACGACCCCACTACACTCGAGAGAGAATGACCAACTACAATCGATATGCCGCTCACAATCACAACTCAAAGGATTTAGAGTACGACTTGACTTCGCAGAAAAGGACTTCATTGAACTAGACCAATGACCACCTCGATGTTCAAGTATACGTACAGATCCGAGTAACCAGGCATCCCCTCCACGCACAATCTCCACGCCATTCCCAAGCTAGATCAGACACAAAAGAAGTTCTCCCCGAAGAACAGAAAAACCTGACATAGCCAACCATTCTGAAATCAGAATTGATTTTGTTGCAGAGACTCAGTCGTTGTCACAAGAAGAAGCGGAAGAAAATTATGATGTTCGCCAAATACCAACGTCCATCATCCACCCTTGAATTACAGAAGAACTGTTCTAAAAAACTCTGTAAACCCCGGATGGGTGGAACCTGATCTAAACTATATTTTATGATTGGATAAATTAAATGTTTTACCAATGTAAAGTATTTAATATTAACCAATCATGATCCATCTAACTAACAACCCACTTATTTGTAAGTGCTGAAGTTACTTGTAATTTCAGCACCAGAGAGATTTGAATTTAACTTAGAAATTAGTTGGACTCTCCCGAGCACTTCAGCAGCCGCAATAAACCAGTATACCCTAGATCTATTGAGCCTAGCAGAGACTAGTTAAACAACCTGAGACTAGATAGTATAAGAGTAAGATTAGGATCGGTATTAGACTAAGAAGTTGCACGAATCTATCCGGCCGAAAATAAGATAGCGTGACGAGCAGACGGTGTACCCTATCCGAAATTACTCTATGAGTTATACACTTCGGTCCTAACTCAATTCGGAAGTCATTTTTCATTAGTTTTGTTGAGTTTTTGAAACCACAATTCATTGTTAAACTTTTAACGGTAAAATTATTCAAAGAAAATTAATCAAAGTAAAATTAATTCGGAAGTCATTTTTCATTAGTTTTGTTGAAGTTTTGATAC